GATTCAGGCCGTACGATAAGAAATAGCGATTCTTATAGTATTGTAGATGATGCAGGTTGAAAACCTCGGTAGTTCTAACATGGCAGCAATAAAGATTTTTGTGACCTTAAAATCCCAACTGGATGCGGCCTACGATGAGGAAAAACCATTGTTCCAAGTCCTCTACAACAAGGCACTGGCGAGGGAAGAGAAGGCAGACGAGGAAAAGCGGAAAACCATTGTTGCGGACCATGAGGCTGTCTTCAAAACAGTCCCCTTCTTGCCCGACATTGACGTCAAGAAAGATCTGGTCGCATATGTGCGTGCTCTCATAGACTGTCAGCTGCTCAGTGAATTTCAGTCAGATCGCTCAACTCTTTGACCAGGTAAGTAAACTGCAGACGCAAATTGCAGACATGGCCAAGGAGCATAGCGATCAAATGCGACAGATGAACAAATCTGCATCAGGCCCAGATTCCTATTCTCTTCTTCGTCCTCCTGCCTCCAATGTTGCTAACGAGTTTGTCCTTGCTCCTCTCCATGCCTCTAGGTGCAGACCCAGTTGTCGTTGCAACAAGTAACAGTGCAGGGATTTTTGCAACTGCTGCAACCTCGAGTTCGGATACATCATTTGCTGGTGCCGGCTATAGCAATCCCTATGTGGACAGAAAGGCGGTACAGATACCGTCCAAGGATGACGGCAAGGAAGATGTAGAGTCATGGATCAGCTCCATGAGACCCTACTTCGAGATGTTGGGAACTCAATTGATGAGCTAGTCCTTGATCTTGGGGACAAAAAGTCGAACCCTCCATGCGAGGCTTCTTAGAAGTCCAAGCTATGCAAGCTGGGTTCACTAAGATTGATCTAACGCAGTGCCTCAAAGCCACACCAGTGACCACACTAGAAGAGATCTTGATTAAACAATATAAAGATCCACATGTTGCTGCAAGAATCAGGAGGAGACTTGATGATCTCAAGCGCAACAAGTTGTTTGTTAGCAAACTTTTTGTTACACCCGGGTTGGACATGACTACACAGTCATCCTTAGATGTTGTGAAAGATACGGTTCCCATTACTTACATGCATTGCCTAGGCATTGGATACACGGACTGGCTTTCACTCATGCAGGATGTGGTCAGTCTTCAGGAGCAAGACCTAGTTTCCACAGCAGGCAACAAAAAGCCTATAGGCGGCAGGCGGTTTCGAGGCAGCAACCGTTTTGTTGTGCATGACCTGTTGGAGGTTGATGAGGAGGCCTATAAAGACGACCCCGCTCTTGGTGACGACCAAGACATCGAGTCTTTCTTCTTCGTTATTTATGTCAAAGTCTGACAATGTGAAGGGACCTAACCGAAACTCAGGGAAGAACTATGTTCAACTTCCCAAGGGAGCCAAAATCTCAAAGAAACCGTAGGATGCAACAACCAAACAATGGGTTAACCTCCGGATCGCTGAAAATGATTGAAGGATTAGGCTCAAGAAAGGGGTTTGCCTGCATTGCCAAAAACCGAACCACAAAGTACAAGGCTGTTATAGGCTGCAGGGAAATCAGAACCAGGCGTAGAGTTGACATCACCACCCTCTAAAGCAAGGGAGACTGAAGCTGATACAAATCAGCAGCCCTCTCTTGAAGCCCTATCGTCTACTGATTCAAGGCTGATGTTAGTCATGCTTTGTATGTTGAGCCTTGGGAGAAGTCTGGGAAGGTTGACTTTCACTATCACCTAGAGCATTGGGCTAAGATGAAACATCACGTACTCAAGGGACAGCGAAGTTAATCTTCTTCAAACTTCTCATTAACCACCACTATCTCTGTGTCTTGATTGACTGTGGTGCCACATCTAACTTTATGTCACCGCACGAGATACGCAAAGTGGGCTTGGGGATAAAGCAAGTGGTTTTGCAAATCAATTGCCGGACTCAAGTACGCAACAAAGAAGTTGTCACATCCACGCATGTAGTCAAAGGTGTGTGCACTACCTTTGACAAGGACAAGACTGTCACACACACGTTGAACTTCTATGTCCTTGACAAGTGTCCCTTCAATGCAGTCCGCGGGTTGGGCTGGTTGTAATCCCAATGTTAATGGACCAAGTGAAAGAGTCACTTTTCATGGTCGAAGATGCTCAGCGGAATGAGTGTCCCGTCCTCTTGGATGAGAAGCGCGAATCCCCAGTGATTTTTCTTAATGTTATGCAGTTCTACAAGAAGTGGAGGATGAATAATTGTATGTTGCCTTTGTTCGCCCTACTCATGTACCTTTTACTTTTGCGGCCAGTAATAGTTCGACTTTGCATGATGAGTCTACTTCTACCCCTGCATCCACTTCTAGTCCAAATGATTCTGCTTCAGATTCGGTTGCCGCCACTACTAATCTGCGACCTGATTTAGGTGATCCTTTTTCTGATCCCCCACCCCCTAAAATCCCAGCAAACATCCAAAGCCTACTCAACCGATTTCTGAAAGTTCTGCCCGAACCACGTGGAGTCCCCACGCGATCGATGAAACACACGATCGAGTTAGTCGAAGGTGTTGTTCCTCCAAAGGATTGTGTGTACCGTATGGGATCCGGCGAGTTGGAGGAGCTCAAGAGATGAATTCATGAGATGATTGACAAAGGGTGGATCAAGCCAAGCGAAGCTGAATTTGGTACACCTGTTCTGTTTGTCCAAAAGAAAGGAGGCAAACTCCGAATGTGTACTGATTACCGCAGTATAAACCGCATCACAAGAAAGAATGCATATCCATTGTCATGCATCGATGATCTACTTGATGTTGCAGGTGGGTGCAAGGTCTTCTCCAAGATCTATCTTAAGTTTGGCTACCACCAGTTTGAGGTCATTCCTATGGACCGGCACAAGACCGCATTCAAGACGTGTGATGGGTTGTACAAATTTACCGTCATGCCCTTCGGCCTCACGAATGCGCCGACCACCTTCCAATGTCTCATGGGCAAAGTTCTTCGCGAACAAATTGGTTGGTTTATGGTTGTCTATCTCAACGACATTCTGATTTTCAGCAAATCGATGGATGAACGCCTAAGACACATTGAGGAAGAGTTGGAAATCCTCAAGAAAATGCAGCTCCATCTCAACTTAGAGAAATATGAGTTTCGGAAGGATAGCGTCATCTATCTAGGGCATCGGTTGTCTACTGCAGGCCTTGAGCTTGAGGCAACCAAGGTTGAGGTCATACGCAACTGGCCTCAATCAACGAATGTTCGTGAACTGTGTTCCTTCCTTTGGTCTTGCATCATACTATTGAAAGTTTGTGCCCCGATTCTCTATCACTACCCGCCCATTGTCTAGACTAACAAGTAAGAATGTATCCTATGCATGGATGAGGCATGTGAGACTGCCTTTCAAGCCTTGAAAAAGGCCTTGGTAAGTCATCCTATGCTCCGCATTGCAAATCCCAAACTCACATTCGTAGCCACCACGGATGCGAGTCGGTATGGGATTGGTGATGCGAGTCGGTATGGGATTGGCGTAGTGCTGCAACAAGACGATGGTGATCGCTTGCGTCCGCTCGAGTACTACAGCAAACGCATGCCCCGCGAAAAGGTAACTACCACTTACATGAACGAGCTTTATGCTTTGTGTGAGGCACTCGACCATTGGAAGCACCATCTTTTGGGACGCCACTTCAAAGTCTTCTCAGATAATGAGACCTTGAAATGGATCAAGGAGAAAACTACCTTGTCTCCTACATTGACTCGCTGGTTCCATGAGATTGACATTTTCAACTTTGAATTAAAACACAAGAAGGGTTATTATAATCGAGTTGTTGATGCATTGTCTCGCCACCCCGAGTATATGACTTGCCTTGTGAACTCCTACGACCTCCGGAAGAAACTGGAGGAGAAACTCATGGAGCAAACTGCCAAGGATCCGAGCATCGGTTCAATCCTTGGGCAGCTGTGAGCTGACCCCAGCAGTCGGCCGGATTTTCACGAATGCGAAGGTCTGGTTTTCCATCGCTACGGGAAGCATGACCATTTGTGTGTACCCAACCATGAGCCTCTCCTCGCACACTTCTTGGATTTCGCTCATGGTCGGAGTGGACACTTCGGCATGGCAAAAACCTATGGAACTTGTTACAACAATTTGACTAGCCTGGTATGTAAGGATCTGCTGAAAAGTTTGTGGCTGAGTGTTAAAGTCTGTCAACGAATCAAACCATCGAGGCAAAAGCCTATGGGGCTGGACTTGCTAACAGTGTAAACTGGGGAAGTACTGGGACACACCAAAAGCACAAGAAAGGGAGTGTTATACACTATGGAAATAACAGAAGTCCGGAGGGGGGGGAGGGGGCAAACAAAAGTAGGGGAATGATGTAGACTAGTAATGGCAGCACATTCCAGTCCAACTCCAGCCCCGGGCTACCACTGAACTAACACTCCCCAGAATAGATACAGAGAAAGGCTCTGTTTTTTGTATTAAAAGAAAACAAGTGGACCCGCCGTGCCCTAACAGGGGGGGCGCGGAAAAATGAGGGCAACCTTGAACCCGACATAGGCATCCAAAAAGCAAACAAAAATTGTACAGCCCAGATCTACACTGGCATAGCATGTTGGCATGGTACATCAGTGCAGCATACCAGTTTAGTATGTCAAGATGGTACACAGCGCAGTACATGCGCACAATCTTTTAGTTTAGTATGTCGCCATAGTACGTGGCATAATACATCGGTGTAGAATGCTTACATAATATGCATGTAGATTTTTCATTTGTCATCCTCCCCCTCCTTTTCCCGCCATTTCGTCCTTCCTCCACCCGCCATTTCGTCCCCTCATCATCACCGTATGCACCATTTTTCCCCTCCTCCTGCCATACCCTCCATAATTGTCACACACACGTGCCACGTGGGATGCACATATTATTTGCACCTCCTCTCCTCCTTCCTCCTCCTGCCATCTCCTTCATCCTTCTCCGTCAATTGTCACTCCTCCTGCACCTCACCATCTCCTTGTACTCCTCCCCACCACGTCATCCTCGTCCACCTAACCATCAATCGTCACCTCCTCCGACCATATTCTCCTCCTCCGCCCAGCCATCTTGTCCTCCTCTCCTTCCTCCTCCTCTCCTCATTCCTTCTGCTGTACTCCTTCGTTTTTCTCTTCTCCTGCCATCTCCTCCGTCCATCCACCTTGTCCTCTTCATCCTTCCTCCTCCTCTACTCCTTCCTTTCGCCGTCCTCTTCTCCTGCCATCTCCTTCGTCCAACCATCTTGTAACCTCCTCCCGCCATATTATCCTCATTCGTCCAGCCATCTTGTCGTCCTCCTCTCTCCTCCTCTCCTTCTTCCTTCTGCGGTACTCCATGCTCCTCTTCTGCTTCTCTTCTCCTCCCGTCCTTCCTTCGGCCATGTGCCATCGCATCCATCTTCATACATGTGTGACATGTGGCGCATGTTCTGCCCATCGTCACATGCTGCTATGTGGGACGGACCAGGGACTCAGGGAGTTTAAACCACAAGTACACCGCCCAGGCAAAAGAAATTCATTGCAAACGACTCATTCCAAAAAGATCAGGGGTCAGAGCAGGGTTGGCACACACACAAAAAAAAAGAAACTGCAAATCGAGGAACGACGTCTGGGAAAGCCCTGAAGGAGAAGTGCTCACCCTAGAACATTCAGGAACGAATCGCACATATGGCTTGTATGAGGTTTTGTTTTTTTTGTTGTTTGGTTTCTTCTTTTGTTTTCTTTTCGGCTGCCTGCCAGCAAGGCAGGGAGCACTGCAAGGACTTCTGACACCTTGTCAAAGAGGGCATATACTCAGATTCTGTATATAACGGGTTCCATGTCCATATTGTTGTTGCTTTTTTTTTTTTGCTTTTCATTTCTGAAAGTACCGTCCATGATGAATGTGGAGCTGTAAACGCCCTCACTGAAGGCATACTCTCACACTGCCCCCTGATTCTGTATCCAACTGCTTTCTCGTCCATAGCGTTGTTGCGTGCTTTTTTTTTTTTTATTTTTTTTTATTTTTTTTTATTTTTACGTTGTTCATTTGGGAGGAGTACGAGAAAAGAAAATACAACGGGACCCAGGCTCGGCAAAACTCGGTGCGCAGTGAAATTCAGGTTCGTTTAAATCAGGTGCGGGTGTACTTGTGGTTTAATTGTCGGAAGATGAAACCGAGGGAACGGAGGGAGAAGAAGGAAAAATGGTTTGCACAAATTGTCAGGCAAACATGAATTGCAAGGAAGATTCGGTCGGAATGAGAGATATAAAGAAAGTCCCCAATTGACGATGCTTTGAAAGTTCAAAAAAACTTTCGATTGCAACAGGAAAAGAATGAAAAAATATTCAAGTTGGAACATTGTAGAACTTTCTGAAAGCAGCTTTCCGTCACAAAACAGAGAAGAACAGGAAAAAAATTGAAAGAATTGGGAGCATTGCCATACTTTCAATATCCAGACATTCTGGGGAATTGCGCAAAAAAATTCTGAGTGCAAACATGCAGTGAGAAAGATTTGATTCATGATGACCGCGGTTATCATCCTTCCATCCTCATCCTGCTCCTCCCTCCTCCGTGTCCATCGCATCAACTTCCTGGGTGTGGTCCATTATGCGGTGCTCCCATCATTGCCACCTTCGTCCTGCCTCATCTTCCTTCCTCCTGCTGCGTTATCTTCCTTCCTTCCCCGACATGAGGGTGATCATTTGTGCCTCATAGTTCTCCTTGGCCCCTGCCTTCTTTTACCGATAACGGGGGCAGGAGGGGGGGTGACATGGGAGAAAACGCTGAATCCCGCCCTCTTGCTCGCCTTTCGTTCCACTTTCAATTCTTCCCGATCTGGTCCCTCATGCAGTTCGTCTCCCGCCCTTTTTCGTTGTAGTCATCTGCTCAATCCTCGAGTGTGCATCACACACCGATCAGCGGTTTTTCCACGTGCTGATCGTGTCCGCGTTCTCCTCCCACTCTCCCCGTCCTACTTCTCCCGCACGTCCTTTTCCATACCACTCCGTCATCGCGGTCATTATTTTCTCTCTCTCTCTCTCTCTCTCTCTCTCTCTCTCTCTCTCTCTCTCTCTCTCTCTCTCTCTCTCTCTCTCTNTCTCTCTCTCTCTCTCTCTCTCTCTCTCTCTCTCTCTCTCTCTCTCTCTCTCTCTCTATCTATCTATCTATCTATCTATCTATCTATCTATCTCGTTCATCTTGCTCGGCTTTTGTTCCCGCGTGCAATTCTTCCTCCCTCGTACTTTTCCCCGACCTCACTCCATGATCATGATCTACGGCGTGGCGATCATAACGATCATCAAATGATAGCAAAAAGGCAGGGAAAGAGGATGTTACCATCATCTTCTTACAGCCTGCTCGTCCCGCTTGCTGTCAACGCCGCTATCTGGGCACTATCCATGATACTGATCTTCTCCTCCCTCCTCCTTTCCTCCCCCCTTGCGGTCCTCTTCGCGTTGTCCGAGTCCCTGCCCCCTTGTCTCCACGATATCGTTCTTCTCCTCCGCTCCCCTTTCCTGCCCGCCTCCCACTCGATCCTCGATCCCCTTTGCGTGCCGCTATGCACACCGCTGTTCGACTCCCTGTGCGCCCCCTCGGCTCTCCTCTCCCTCTCTCCACGCTGTCAGGGTGCAATGCTTGTTCCTCCCTCCTTTCCTCTCCACCTCTCGCTCGACCCTCTTCCACACCATCGTCCATCGTCCTCCTCCGTCACGGTGTCGGCCGTCATTGTCCTCCGTCTCCTCCCTCCCACTTCCGTCTCCTCCTCCCGCTCGATCATCTTCCACGCCCGTCCGTCGTTGCCTTCCGTCTTGGCTGCGGCAGCTGCGCTCGACGATGATCTGTGTGCATCGCTTGACGTCTCCACGCAGCGGGTGGACTGGATGCGAATGGCCCGATAGACTGGAAAGCCAAAGCCCGACGCGCCCAACGGCCCTTCTGGGAGTTCCCGCTCTGGCCTACCCCGCCCCAACAAATCTGAACGTTTCGCCATGTTTTCCCTTGGGCTCAGGCCCCCGTCCCGCCAATTTCCCAACAGTGGCGGTCGGGCCTTGCGGGAATGTCATGCGAGACTCGGCTTACACTTTAGTAAGAGTATAGATATAGGAAAAAAAGAAGTTTCCGCGGATATGATCGACCGCAAACCAAGTTCCCAGTTATATGTGTAATCAACCCAGGGGAAAAAACAACAATATGACATTGCTTAATGCAGCGCTTATGTCCATCAGATTGCAACTCCAAAAACACCCACTGACTGCAACAATCCAATACGCCTCGGCAAGTCGTACAAGAGCACAGCCATGTTACAAGGGCACAAGCACACAAACACATATAGTTCTTCTCACTGTGGAATAGTGATTGCCCCACAGTCTGCGCCCGAACAATACACACGCTCAACATGAGCGTATCAGATTGGGCATGTGCCATGTAATACGGCGTGTATACATTCATGATTAGGGTGCACGGTGCTCAGGGCAAGACGGTAGGCCACAGGGTTCAGTATGCTGCTGAGAGAAAGCAAGGGGTTCAGCCATCTGCAAACTAACCTCTCCGCGTGCCGCATTCTTCAAGCGTCTATACAAATGTGGATGGTATTTTCTGAACTGCCGCTCGAACGATGCAGGTGCACTAGTGCCCATGGTAATCCGGAAACGAAACAAACCAATACGAAAAACATCAGAAAATCGATCATACATCACATCAGATTGTGTTTTTCAGAAGGGGTAAATCACCAAGTAAATCAGGAAACTGTGTGAGGGGTGGTGATCCACCTTGCTTTGGAGAAGTCTGCCTACCTGTATGGAATCAGGTACGGCGAAGCTGCGATGCATGGTGCACGGAATTTCTCTGCAATATGCCATCCCTCCTGTCCAAGCAGACACACAATATGGTCATCATGTGGAACCTCCAGTCATTGTCCCACCTACAATTGTGCTAACTCTGGTTACCATTGTGGTTATCCTTTGATATCAAATTCATACAGAATTACTTCTGGAAGCAACTCAGAAAAGGAGGGCGGAGAATGAGGGCACAGTTACACTACGACTTCTCTGCATGTATCTGACAGAAATTACAGCCAGATTCCGTTGAGAAAAGTCCGATAGGGTATGCCCGCAGAAAGAAGAACGATTGCAAAACACTGAAATGTCCATGCAGCAATCGGTCTTTGGTCGGGTTGGTGGAAAAACATCATGCAGTTCCAAATTTATGCGATGATGGTGAAATCACTGCCACCCAGAAAGGGAAAACAAGAGTAGCTTTGGATGCAGAGATGGTTAGGACTTTAAAATCGGTTTTCTGAGGTCTCTTCTGTTTTTTTCCTTCTCTCTTGTTCTCCAAAATCTCCACGCTTGGCATCTCTCTTGTGGTTGACATGACCATCCAGCACAGCTCATAATCATCTCCTGTGGGGATTTGTCCATGTTTTGTGTAAAAGATGAGAGAAATCGAATTAGGCAAGGACTCCTTTCATACTTCCTTTCCTCTTAAAAGACTGTACTGGAGAAGACAATGGTTTCACGCGGACTCTTTTTCTCATCAGATGACACACGACTGTCCAAGAATATGGCTTCTCCGCTTGTTGGATACCTTTTCCTTTTTATCTATTCCCAGATAATTCTGCAAGGAAAATGAGGAATGCGAATGACAGAAGCCAAATTGCATCATTCCTATAGAAATCCCGATAACCATGTGCACGAACTGAGATTGCATCACGAGACACACCAAATAAGCAGGAGCAGAACACAGAAGTCACATCAGCCTCAGAAAGGCCTCGTCGATTTTTCAGGGTGCCCGCCTTCACTTGGGGCAGGCGCAGACAGTTCCCGGCGGGCACGGGCCCCTGCCAGCCTAGGCCGAGGGCCTCATGCTTTGCAATTCAGAATCATTCTTTTCATGTATCTAATTTCACATGGATTCAAGCTCAGATCTGTATTTCAACAGCTCATTGGTGTACCAACTGAGCTAGGCCAGTTGGTCCACTGGTTGGATATTTTGTAATCACCGTTCTCATGTTTCCCCTCTTCCTGAAGTTAGTCCAAGTTCTCTCCAAAATCCAAACCCCTTCAGTAAGACTGTGCAAGACCTTGCTGCTATTTGCATGCTTGCTTCTCCAATTTTCAATTGCATAGAACCATACTTGTGGCACACATAATGCATGCAAAAGCGCACATGCGCCCATGTGCACGCCTGCCGTGTTGTTAAAAAGAGGAAGGGCGAGGTGTGGTAGCATGCCCCACCCCTCCCCTCATAAAATAATACAATCGAGTGTCGATGACAAGAAAAGAAAAAATTGGGGCCGCGATCAACAGCAGTGTGTGTATGTGTTGCTATCTCAATGCATACAAAGCTATCTTTCAGACCCAAGGCAATCATGATGATGGGTTGTTGTGTTTTCGCTGATAATGACAAGGAGCCTCTGCACAAAATGCTAAGTAAGCTCCACGACCCCTGAAGTGGTCATTACAACCCTCTTCCTCTCTCTCTCTCTCTGAATGTATACAAGCTATCTTCCAGGTCAGGTACAGTCATGATGAGGGTGTGCTGTGTTCTCAAACACAGCTTTTCGTGATCTTGTGGCGCGCAGCCCCGTGTACCACACCTGTGCGCGCAGTGGTTGTGCATCACCCATCTGTGAACCGCACGGGTGTGCCACAAGTACGGATAGAGCATAAAGTCTTCAGCTGTGTTGCGCATGCGCAACGGGCAGCATGAACCCGGACATCCCAGCATCCACGTGCAGACCAAGCGCAGTTTACCATGCATCATACTCGGGCAAGGTGCGCCCATTAACACACCGGCCTTTCAGGGATGTACGCCGGCAGAGGTCGCAAAACCTTTTTTTTTCCTACCCATATCCGACCCAACCCAAGCCTTGATGTATCATATCTAGCCGGACCCATGTAAACACTATTATTTTTACCCAGACCCAGCCCACCCACGCTAATTTAAAAATTTTTCTACCCGTACCCAGCCCACCAAGGGTGATTTAAGAATTGTCTACCCATACCCAGCCACACCCAGGCCAAATTTCCCTTCACGCGCATCCAGCCACACCCGAACCTAGTATCCATCCACCCGTGCCCAGCCGTACCTGTGCCGAAAATTTTCCAACCAGGCTTAGTCTTCCCTTTTATCTTTATTTAAAGCTTAGGCCTTAAATGTCGGATGCCTTAGCTTCCATCCACAAATTTCCGCTTCAAATTTTGGCGCCGGCAGTGGACCAGTGGCTGGGGATACTCACATTGATACTTTCTTGTCTACATTTGGCCGCAACTACAGCCAGATTTCGATAGATCTGACCGCAATTATGGCCAGAGCCTATTAGTGAGTGTCGTATTCCCTAGGATGAAACGATTGGGGCCAGGCCAAATTAATAGTATGGTCTGACACTAGTACTACCTCGGCCCTAAGACGAATGACAGACGCCCAGAGACAAATTTATACTAGGGGCACGCCCCACTAGTACCACTATTTCCTAGTGAAGAAAAAGGGTCAGGACTGGCCCTAATACTACCTAGGCTTGCCAAATATGCCTGGTATGCCTGCAGGCCTCGGGTCACCCATTGCGAAACCTCTACCCAGCCGTACCCGGAACCAAGGCAAACCTTTGCCCGGCCGTAACCGTACAGGCACTGTGTCAAAACCCAGCCCCACCCACCCTACAGTTCCCTGCCCCAGCCATATCCCCCCCTCAGATTTCCAAACCCAACTGCCCCGGTGCATACTAATCATGCCATACCCGCACCCGTCCACAACTGTCGAGTACGGCTGGGTACGGTCGGGTCGGGTCACGGCCACCCAATGTCAACCTCTGATGTACGGGCCTGCTTGTGCACGGTTAAACATGAACGCAGTCAAAGGCTGCAGAGGACAAAGGAAGGGTCCCAAGCACTGGAGTGTTTAAACCACCAGCACCTGCAGGCCAACCCCGCAAATCTGGCCCGGGTACACTTTTGCCCAACTGTGCAGCATTGCACCGAAATCAACCACAGACTGAAAAACGGCCCACCCTGTATGCATATACCGGGAGGTCCCCAGGAGACGTAACCTTTGGTCCAAAGGTAACGCTAAAAGGTAACTTTGCCCTGAAGATAACCACGGGCTATATGCATATTACCAGTGAGTCTTTAGATGAGGTTAACCAGAGTATACAGAAGATAACCACGGGCAAGGTCACCATGGCCTCCATGTGCATTACAGTGGGTCCTCTGAAGATACCTCTGGGCCAGAGATAATCAACCACTCAATGACAACCCAACTCAAACATGCATGACGACAACATTCACATGAAAGTTCACACCACACCCGAGAGATAACACACAAATCAGCGCCTGAAGAATTTCCACTCAAAAATATGGTATAATACAATTGGAGAGTTCCAGTATCCAGCGGCAGTGACCGCAATCCAATGCTGCACTCCGACACAGGTAGGTACTCGACTCCCCCTCCCTCAGTGTCTGACTCCCTCTCCCTCTTCTCGTTGTCTGTCTCTTCTCTCTCTCTCTAGTCGTGTATTGCTCGACCCCCCGTGTCTCGCCTAAGATCTACCCTGAATGCACAGAGGTATGTCACTCAGAACTTCTGCGGCTATGGCCGCCGTCTTCCTCTTCCTCTAACCCTATCTATGGCTGACTTCCACCACCAGGGCGCTTGCTTCTCCCCCAGCGCCTTCCACAGTCCAGGTCACGTGATCGCACTAGCAACCAGCACCGCTTCCGCAACTTTGCAAATGAACATTGTGTTGGCCTTGGCACTGTAGCAGCTATTAATAGCTACAGTTGACTGTATGCACCAGTCGCCCGCAGCCTCTGCTTGCCAAAATTGGTGTTCCAGAAGTCCCCAGACTTTCTTGGGATGCTGCTGCAAAATTGGACTGGTACCGGTCGCCTGCGGACTTTTACCTACTTGCGACATTTCGGTATCCGACTCCTACCGACTACAACGCTTCAACCTGCGGACCCTAGGACTCGGCCTACCAGGACAGCCTGGGACCGGGACCAATTGGGACTCTGGGACCACGACTGTGGGTCTGACAGCGTGAAATCCTTTCAACCACAATATACAAAAGGTAACCATGGCCCAAAGGTATCCAGGGCCTGATGTGCATAGCTACAGGTTCTTCGAAGAGGCTTGATCAGATGCGGTGCACATAGCAATGGTACTGTAATACAGGTTGAAGAGTCATACCTCCACGTCCAGCGACTGCAGTTCTCTGAGCTTTGCCAACATTCACCATATTTTGAACATAGTTTGAACTCCTGAACTGTGTGCCAGCTGAACTCATAAGTGGGCATCATGCAGATAAATCTCACTCTCAACTTCGGACTGCCCAACAAAGACTGCGGCTTCATTTCAACGTATTTATTTAGAAAAGGGGATACCTGTTAGGAATTTACGAAGCTTCAATTTCTTCCCATGAACATCCCGTAGACAAACTGAATTGAAGACAAATCGTGAAAATTACAACTGGTATGAAGCAATACACCAAGTTCGTACCAAAGAATCACAGCAACATAATGGATAAACACGAGAAAAGGTTATGTTAACTTGGCACCAGTATAGAGCCAGAACACACTGGCTATGGCTGCGCCCAGGTTCGCTCCTTCAGCTGCCAAAAAAATAGTGCTGGTCCTTCTCGTCACTCCGCAAAATTCATGAACTGGAAACTACTGAAGTCTGCTTCTAACTGGCTGCGTTTATCAAGTCGAATGGCCTGAGCCTACGAGATCCTACCAGGCTCTAGCAAGTTCTAGATGTCTAGGTCCTACAGAGTCCTACGTGTCAATAGGCATCCAGTCGTACTTGTAGGTTCTAGGTTAGAATCTGGCTGGCAGCAACTTGAGAAACAACAAAATAAAAACAACT